CTACAATAAATCAAAAAATCAGCCGGGAGTGGTAGCGCATGCCTGTAATTCTGGCTACTCGGAAGGCTGAGGTGGAAGAATCACCAGAGCCCAGCACATGCCTATAATTCCGGCTACTCGAAAGGCTGAGGCAGAAGGATCACCGGAGCCCAGCAGGTCGAGTCCAGCAGGTTGAGGCAGAAGGATCGCTGAAGCCCAGCAGCCACTGCACTTCAGTCTGGGTGACAGAGTGAGACTCCAACTCAAAAAGTAACAATAAAAAATAAAAATAAATAAATCCTTGTCACAGTTTTGGTTACTAAAAGTATAATAAAGCAGGAATAAAAACACATTAGGCTCAGACATAAACTACAGTTTTCATACTTTCTTTCCATAGCCAATGTCTTCAAATTCATCAGGAAAATAGAATTGACACAAAAGAGTGAGTGCCTAAAAAAGGGGGGGCTCCTTTTTATACATACATGGATAAATGATCAAAAAATGGTCCAAAATATGGATTGCTTGAGGTCTCCAGAGGGAACAGACATAGGAGCCTAGGATAAGGGCACTCCTTTTTAAATACAATCTCCTTATTAGAATTGAAGGTTATCTCCACAATTCTATCAATAATACCTTCCCTAATATGAAACAGTCTAGGGAACCTAATTATCTATGGTCGATGATATACTTTTTCTGTCATGAAACATCAAAAGCAGAGAAAAGAGGACTTACCCTTACAGGAAACCACATGTAGGAAGCCTCTTCAGGATAGATGAACATCTCATATTCTGGCCGGGTCATCTCTTCAAACAGACAGTAGAAGAACTCTGTCCTGACTCCTCCCAGGTCATAGTCAATTTCTCCACTAAACGACACCTGAGGAAGAAGAGTGACTAACCCATCCCTTCCAGGGTTCTAAACTGCTGAGTATGAAGTCTCATTTAATAATACAGCTAATAATAATTGTGGACCCAAATATTTAGTAAGTATTGTGGTATCATACTTGTATTATCATATTTAATCTCTCCATTAATTCTATGAAGGTAACAAAGCCCCAAGAATTTATGTGACTTTCCCTAGATTGTACAACAGCTTGGTGGTGCAGCCTAGTTTTAAGCCTATGTCTGGCAAAGCCCAGTACCTGAAGTCTTTACCACTAAACTGACCTCAGCTGGCTTCATTATTATAGTCATCAGGTTCATTAAGTACATTAAAAATAACAGAAATAATAAATAATAGGATGTTTAAAAAATGGAAACACCAAAGCACACATAAATTGTTTTCTGAATTGGCTGTCTGCTGCTGGATACAGGGCAACCCCCACTGCTGACGCCCATCCCTCTCCAAGATGATGCTAACCTAACCTGTCTCCACTCCTTCAGTTATTGCTTCCACTCCTGCCTTTCCTTCTTGAAATTCTTTGCTTTCGTTTACAAATGTATTAAGGCCTCTCTTATCCTTAAAAGAAAAAAAAAATCCCAATACACTGTCTCCAACACAGACAACACTAGCCCTGTTCAACTCTTGCCAAACTTCAGAAATATCCACATGTGCAGACCCACTTCTCTCCTATTGAATGGGTCTCTCCAAGAGGACAAGGGCCTGTGAATCCCCAGCTCCAAGTCTTTTTTCACATCTCGTCTCCTGGATTTTGCTAGCTTGGTTTCTACTCCTGACCCCCACCTTTTTCTTGACATTCTTTCTCCCTTGATTTCTCTTTTGAAGCATTCTTCAAGTTTCTACTTTTCTCTCTTTTTCCTGCTGGATTAATTTCCAGTGTTTCAAGCAGTTCAGCCCTGGCATGTCTGTCCTTCCTGTCTTTCCCTGGATACTCGTTTTCTCTTTAAACCCTGTTTACCATATGTAGACATTTGACCCTAAGATCCACTGCATCTTCTTTCCTGGCTGACCGATACTCGCTCCAAAGGCCTGTTCAACATTCAACCCAGATGTCCCCGTCCTCGACTAAAAGCTCCTCTTCCGGGTTCATTTGGATGGCTGCCTCTTCCCCAGAGATGGAAGTTTCAAACCTCAGTGAAATATTCAAAATATCTCTAAGAAGACAAAGAGTCAAACACTTCCCCTTCCTATGAGCAAGTTGTGTCATTCGACAGAGCTTAGTTTTCCCATGAGATCATCAGAAATATCCACCAAGTAAGTGCAAGTAAGTGTAAAGCACTTACAACAGTTTTCGGCACAAGGAAAGCACTCAACAGATACACTGGCCATTATTATTCTGTATTAAATATCCTGGGCAGCGAGACCTCATCTCTACAATAAATCAAAAAAATCAGCCGGGCGTGGTAGCGCATGCCTGTAATTCCAGCTACTTGGAAGGCTAAGGCG